GATGTGAGGGGTCCAGAGTGATTCTGCCAGCCCTTTTGCTCACTCTGGACGAGTACAGTTCTTGGAGAGAAGGGAGGAATGTACCAATGATTCGCTCAGCAGTCCGGACTACCCTCTGAAGTCTTCTGAGGTCAGATTTGGTAGCTGAGCTGAACCAGACGATTATAGAAGTGCAGAGGATGGATTCAATGATGGCAGAGTAGAACTGTTTCAGCAGCTCCTGTGGCAGGTGCATTTTCATGTATATTTTTAGATTTTGACATTTTCTATTTCATGAAAACACATACTTCCTTGTTTTTTTTGAGCTGAAGAAATAAGCACCCGCTGAAGAGCTGATTATTTTCAATGAATCTGTCTGCAAACTGCAGTTAACGATTCAAAGACCATGTCTGACTCGAAATGAACAGAAAGCTGGGAGATTCTTGGACCTTGAAAGTCTGCACAACTGATGGTGCAAAAGTTGCCTATATTGCAATATATCAGTCTATAATAGAGTATTGATTATTGTAAATGAAAATCCTATTTCAGACATGACTGTCAGTTATTTGTCAACAAAAACTGCTGTAAAAGGGAGAACTGTTTAGGTCCATTTTATGTTGTTTGTATGTCACAAGGTACACGGTACGAGGTATAAATGAATATCCATGCATCATCTCAGCCACAGTTGCAGCTTCAAAAAATATGAAACTAGTATTTTGTATTTTGTTATTCACTAGCTTGAGTTATCGGTAACAAATATTTTAGTATATTGATGTTTAATGTTTTGAAGGCGTATGAATAAATGATAAACTTGGTACATCAACCTGCACTTTTAATACTTAAAGGGATAGTTCACCCAAAAATGAAAATTCTGTCATTAATTACTCACCCTCATGTCGTTCCAAACCCGTAAGACCTTTGTTCATCTTCGGAAGACAAATTAAGCTATTTTTGATGCATTCTGACAGCTCTCTGACCCTCCCATAGACAGCAAGGGTACTACCACGATCAACGTCCAGAAACGTAGCAAGGAGATCGGTAAAATACTCCATGTGACATCAGGAGTTCAACCGTAATATTACGAATCTACAACAATACTTTTTGTGCGCCAAAGAAAAAAAAACGACTTTATTCAACAATTCGTCTCCTCTGCGTCACCCTAGCGCCATTTTGGAGAGTATCCACTGAACGCAAACAGCGTATGTTGTTCTGTGAAGCCAGGTTTCTTTGACAGTGGCCTTCAGCTCATCTGCATTTTTTGGTCTCTTGTTTCTCATTTTCCTCTTGACAATACCCCATAGATTCTCTCTGGGGTTCAGGTCTGGTGAGTTTGCTGGCCAGTCAAGCACACCAACACCATGGTCATTTAACCAACTTTTGGTGCTTTTGGCAGTGTGGGCAGGTGCCAAATCCACTAATTTATTGAGATGCACCTGTATATTAATTTGAAAAAAGAAAATCTAGTACTTTCAAATTCAAGTACTCAAGTGAAATTTAAAAGAAGTACTTGTAGTTTTACTGGAGTGATATATTAGTGTCTCTGAACTTGTACTCGATCGCTTGATTTGATTTGAGCACTTCGTCCACCACTGAATAATTTTATGGTACGTTTTTGTCTATTTGACATGCAAATAGTGCTTTTTGCAGTTTGGCAGCCTATTGTCATTGTACAGAAAAGAGAAAATACCATTCTGCCAAACTTCTCCTTTCATGTTCCACTTTAAAAAGAAAGTCATAAGGGTTTGGAACTGCGTGACAATGAGTAAATCAACTATTCCTTTGACACATGCTTTGCATTCTGGGTAAAACAAAGTCTCTGGATGTCATCTGTGATTAAATCCAGAACGAGAAAGATCAACATTTCCACATGCAGGCTAGAAACAGCAGTGTGACCAGTCCTGCCCCTGGAGGAGACGATTGACTTCACGGCACTCCTTATATGCCTCTCTCTCTCTCTCTCTCTCTCAAACACACACAGAGAACATGAGAAAGTGGGGCAGTGGCTGTCCTGGTTACACAGACCCACTCCCACCATCTGCTGCTGCATCATCACAGCGACACAGTCATTCACAGGAAGTGCCTTCACCCTGCGCTCAGGCATGATGTAGAGGAAGAACAGAAAGGGTGGAATAAAGCCACATGGTAGCCTGCAGGCCGTACTGTCAAGCCGGGACTTGAACACTAGATGTAGTGATCGGTTTCCCATCGGAGTCATCTTCTTCTGCGGTCGCTGCTGTAGTATCGGCGCGACTCGATGCGTGCTCGGTCATGCGGAGGAAAGAGTTGCCATTTTACATCAAACCTGACCTGCCGCTTTTCGAACCAAATGTTGCGCTACCGGTCAAGCAACTTTTTCTTAAGGAATTAGAACAATCAAACATTTTGACTCAGTGCGTTTTAGTAGATCTCACACGTGGCTCAATCGTAGGCACTTCTAACAGGTGTTTTGTATCTTGAGAGAAATATAGGTTAGAGAGATAACAGCACTTATGCAAACATCTGGAGCAAACAATTACAGAGCATTTCATTAGCTCTTAAAATGTTCCGTCTAGGCTGTAAATCAAGAGTGCACTGAACTCTCCAAACAGCATTTAACTCTGCATCATTACTAGCAATTAGTTCTGTCATTGCAAATCTGTGCATAGAACAATTCCAGACATATATTCCATACTGATAAATGGTCTACATGCAAACAAATAATAAGACCATAAAATAAACAAGATCATACATATTTGTATACATATTTATTTGACTTACTTCTGTATTATAGGCAAATTCTTTTGAAATGAAAAATACGTATTATTTTAGTTTAATAAAACCATTATTACAAAGAAAATAAAACAGAATTCAATATGAATAACAATAAATAAATATTTAAAACAATTACATACTCACAAACCTTGTATTATCGGAATGCAATTTAAATAAAACAAACTTAAACAATAAAGCCTAAATATTTAAATAATATGTTTATATTAGTATAAAAATGTTTTTAAATATTTATATATCAAATTAACGACTAGCAGTATAAAAGGCTTGCCATATTAACAATATGATATACTTTGAGCCTGCAAAAGACTGAAAACAGTTTCATATGTGAAAGAAAATCGAATAAACTGATATATTTTCTGTTTTTTTTCTCTCTCTCTCTCCCAGTTCACAAACAGCACTTTGAGGAAGCAGATACAATAAACAGTGAGTGGTCTACTAAAACATGACTTTAGCTCAACTCTATTATCTGACACAATTCATTTCTCTCTTCAAGCTTAAGAAAACTGAAAGTGTAGTCTATCGTCAAGACAGTCAGAAATATATCGTTCTGAAGACCAGACAACTCTCACATCCTCCTTTCTGAAGTTCTGCTAGATATCAACAACACTTCATATGTGTAAGTTCAACAGTATCCAGACACACCCTCAATGCAAACGACACAAACCCCCCACACCTCTTATCAACAAACCACTTAACTAAAGATCGCCCTTTATGCGCTCAAAATGTTCTCCCAAAAGCGGCTCATCCCTGCATTTCCTGCCCGATCCCCTCAGCAGTGCTGGAGATCAGCGCGTGCTTACCTCAACATAATTATTCTCACAGTAGTCCGCGACCCTCGTAAGGTTCTGGTAACTCTCCACGAGAGCTCGTTTACCGGCTGGAATTTCTTCCTCTAGTAACATCTGCAGCTCTGCCATTTTACATGTCTCCACAGAGCTTCCTACTCCTCGTCTCTGGGATTTGATAGAGACTAGAGAGCTCGAGCTCAGCCCCAGACCTGTGATGTCGGAATCGTTCATTTGAGTCGAATCTTTTTATTGAATCAATCGAACCGGTTCACAAAACTGGTCTGAACGATTCGTATATCAGACTGAATAGGGAGGAGCTGTTCTCGAGTTAACGACTCACTGAATCATTGAACCGAAACATGCGCGACTCGCATTGAGCCGGATTATTATGGGATTACAATTCCGCCACAATTGTGGCAGAATTGTAATCCCATAGATTATCAACGGAGAACCCGTAGTAAGAGTTTTTGGAGTGAACCGAGTAGCAGGAATATGACACACTGGAAATGTTGACGACTTGATTATATTGCAGTTTTATCAACATGCATACGAAAAAGAGTTGTTTATAATAATAATAATAAAACAAAATAGGCAAAACCATGAGATGTAAATTAAAATGAGTAGTTGAATTAATTCCACATTGTATTTACATTACTATGAGCGTTGAAACGTTTTAAATGGTAACTATACGACCGTTTTACCTATAATATAATCGAGAAAATACCAGTGAACAAATATACGTGGCTTCATTTGAGTATTTAATATTTATTTATAAATAGAAATACTTATTTATCACCCTAAATCCTAGTGCGTCCCTACAACTATTTTATTTTATTCTATTCCTATTCTATCTATAGCACACCTGTACATACAATTTATTCTTTTTTTGTGGTTTATATTTATGCATGTGTATTTTATTCACATCTTATTTTTATTATCTGTGTGTTGTTGTTGTTGTCTCCGTGTACTGGAAGCTTGTGACACTATAACAAATTCCTTGTATGTGCAAACATACTTGGCAATAAAGCTGTTTCTGATTCTGATTCTGAATATGCAACGCCAGGATGACCGGCACGCACGGTGACGTAATTGCGTAAAATAATCAGAGAATCGGTTCGTTGAAAAGAGCTGTTCGAACAAACCGATTCTAGGAAATGGGTCAGACTTCCCATCGCCTCGCTTTCACCACAGCGTCACCTATCAGCACAGCTGATACTTTGTTGCTGAGCGAATGGAACGTTGGGAGTTGTAGTTTTACACTACATCCAGTAACGAGGGAGGGGACGCTTTGATGTGTTCCATTAAGTGTTACAGAGCTGCCTCTTCGTCTATTGCGCAGGGAAGGATTAAGCGCACATGTTTCTTTAGAAATATGCGGCAAAAAATTGCGGGCCGTTTTCAAAGTTCGGTTTTTATGCCATAAACTCCCTTGGGTAAGCTTACCCCAGTGAACTACATTACCCAGGATGTTACGCGTATAGATAAAGAATTAGGGTATTTGTAGGATTTAAATGTCGTCGTTGTAAGACTTAATGGCAGTGTTGTTCTCTAAAGGAACTACAATTCCCTGTAAACACCCGAGGAAGGCTTTCGTATGTTGGCTGTCAGTATTCATGAGGTCGTAGTCTCCAGTAAAGCAGGTAAGAGCAGCAAATGGTAACGTATCAAATGCTCGTGCTTGGTTTAACGTCGTTTCGATTATTTCTAATGGAATTTGATGTGGAAATATCACATTCAGTTCTATTCACTGCACTTCCAGTCATGTCTTGCTTGTCCTTCAGGATTTGGATTGTTTTTGGCTTTGTTTACTTCTTTTGGAAAAATAAACAGGCTTGTTAACTTGTAACGTGCAGCTTAGGTTTACTGTAACGAATGCTAGGAACATGCATTACATCAACCGATTATTATTGAATATAACTTTGCTGGCAGGTTTGATCTCGATCTTGCTGTAGCGGTGAGATTGTCATGATGGAGGGTGACAACCAACCAGTCTACGAGCAGAGGTTCAATGCTGCTGTCAAAGTGATCCAAAATTTACCTTCAAACGGTGAGTAAATAAGTAACACTCATTTAGGCAGTGTATTGTGTGTTATATTACATTTACATGTAGTCTTTTAGCAGACGCTTTTATCCAAAGCGACTTACAAATGATGTTATATTGCTGCAGTGCACACGACCCCTCAGTCACCTACTTTCATTTGATCGCTACAGTTTCATAATAAGAAAAAACAAAAATAACAAATTATCACCGGTTTCCACGGTCAACGCGATTAGCCTACGTTCAGCCAGGCTTAAGTGCTGAAATAACTCGTGTGCAGTGGTGGAAAGAATAGTAAGAAATTGTGCTTAAGTAAAAGTATTGCTACTTAAGGAATAATTTACTTGAGTACAAGTAATAGTAATGAAAAATAGCATGACTCAAATAAGAGTAAAAAAGTAGTTTGCTGAAAAACTATTCAAGTTACAAAGTACTTTAGTAGAATTTTTCTATTTTTACCCAAAATGAGATGATGTGAGCATTATGGAGCAGGGTTAAACCTAACCCTAACACTCGTGCACTTTAAAGGGGGTCATATGATGCGATTTCAATTCTTAATTTCTCTTTGGAGTGTCACAAGCTCTTGGTGCATAAAGAAGATCTGTAAAGATGCAAAGACTAAAGTCTCAAATCCAAAGAGATATTCTTTATAAAAGTTCAGTCAGCCACACCTACCTAAAACGCCTCGTTCTAACACGCCCCCACATGTCTACGTCACTATGTGGGAAGATTTGCATAACACCGCCCAAATGTTCATGCAAAGAAAGAAGGCGTAACTTTTATTCTCGCTGTAGTGTTGTTGATGCTGCAGCCATGTCCTGAAGACGCTTGTGAAAGCGAAACTACTTTGTTTGGCCTTCCAAAAGAGGACGATATCCGCTTCGTCATGCCTGGAGCTGATCCGTGCTGGTTGCTGAGGGAATACATCAACTTTCACTGTGGACGAAGCAGAGTCCAGCCCGGGGTCGTTACATGCAGTTGCCGCTCATTCGTCGGATCAGCCGGGCACGTCGGCCTCAGCTCACTCTATCCCGGCCTCAGCTCACGCTAGGCCGCTGTGTTTTTCGTTGTGAAAGCGAAACTACTTTGTTTGGTCTTCCAAAAGAGGACACGACTACAAATCAGTGGTTAAGTTGTATTTACAACACTGTTCCAGAACAGTTTAACCCAAATATTCAGATGTGTGCAGTACATTTTATGGAGGACTGTTTCCTGATCCTGGTAGAGTAGACTACAATGCCGGCAGTTCTGACTCACAGTCTGTAAGTACGTTTTCATTTAAAGGATTTGCCACTGATGATTCAAACGTGAGTTTTGGGCAGTGTAGAGTAGTACTTGCTGTTTGTCATTTCTCTGATCACAAATGCAGACAGAGTTTTATGTTTACGCGGCGCGATGCAACGCGTAAAAAGACAGTATAAGTCATTATAATCAGTAATTATGTCCCCACTGGATGCAACGAATGCCTCGTTTGTAATGGGTTTTAATGTTTTTGTCTCGTCCGTCTGGCCGGGACATGGCATCAACAGTACAGGTGCGTCTCAATAAATTAGAATGTCGTGGAAAAGTTAATTTATTTCAGTAATTCAACTCAAATTGTGAAACTTGCATATTAAATAAATTCAATGCACACAGACTGAAGTAGTTTAAGTCTTTGGTTCTTTTAATTGTGATGATTTTGAAAACCCACCAATTCACTATCTCAACAAATTAGAATATGGTGAGAAACAAGAGACCAAAAAATGCAGATGAGCTGAAGGCCACTGTCAAAAAAACATGGCTTCCATACCAACTCAGCAGTGCCACAAACGGATCACCTCCATGCCACGCCGAACTGAGGCAGTAATTAAAGCAAAAGAAGCCCCTTCCAAGTATTGAGTACATGTACAGTAAATTAACATACTTTCCAGAAGGCCAACAATTCACTAAAAATGTTTTTTTTTTTTTTATTGGTCTTATGAAGTATTGTAATTTGTTGAGATAGTGAATTGGTGGGTTTTTGTTAAATGTGAGCCAAAATCATCACAATTAAAAGAACCAAACTACTTCAGTCTGTGTGCATTGAATTTATTTAATACACAAGTTTCACAATATGAGTTGAATTACTGAAATAAATGAACTTTTCCACGACATTCTAATTGATTGAGATGCACCTGTATGTGAGGGGCATACCATTTCCGTCTCATGCTTGAGGTATTCGGCCAATCACAACGCATTGGATAGCTGGCCAATCACAGCACACCTCGCTTTTTCAGACCGATGAGCTTTGTAAAAATCGACGCGTTTCAAAAAGGCGGGGCATAGAGGAGAAACAATAATGTACAGTATGTGTTTTTTTACTTTAAACCGCATAAACACATTTCATTACACCAAATACACAAAATAATGTTATTTTTAGCAACATCATATGTTGACAAGTGAGACCCAGTAAATCCCTTATATGGACAAATGCATCAGATATCACTACAGCTGAATAACAAGCAGATAGAGATGCTTTGACTGATGAAACGTGGAAGACAATAAACACACAATTGCAATGCAACGCTAATTCACATTCCTAATTTTGATTCCAATAATGTAAAAAATAAATAATAATAAATGAATAAAAAATAAAAAAATCTTAGATATAATTCACATTTATTGTAACTCTTATCGCAAAGTATTCCATTGTTAGCTGAATACTATGAATGAAAGTCAACAGGCTAAAGAACACTTACACAAGGATGTGTGTGCAGCAGAGAAAACAGCCTGTGAGTCTTCTTGACTTGAATGGTTTAAAATCCCATTGAAAGTGTAGTTTGTAATAATGTTATGTAATGTAATTTTGTAAACAAAGGTGGACTCCAGACACATTTTCAGTAGGACAAAAAAGAGCATTTTATTTAACATTTTAACCCATACCTAGGCTTGGGAATCCAAAATGCTTAAGGTCAGGAATCGTCTAGTTGTTATAAAATTAAAAATTCGATTCCTCTTATCGATTCCTTTGTGCGCATTTTAATATGACTTTAAACCATTCAAGCACAAGAAGACTCGTGCTCTGTTTTCTGTACTGCAAACATAGGGGCATAGCCATCATTTCAGAAATGAGGGGGACAGCAATGTAAAAAAAATAAAATAAAAAAAACTTTTGACTTGTCTAATTGACGCGCTTTATTTTTTTCTTACGTCTTTTAATTGGATAAGAAATCAAATAC